AACAACAACAACAACCACTCTGTTGATTTCTATGGCTACCCTTATACTAGTACCAGACTTTATAGTACGTTTTGAGATTGGGGAATGTGAAGACTCTGGCACTTTTTACTTTTTTAAGTTTTCTTTACGTATTTGGATATATAGAACCACCCCTTGAAGTTCCATATAAATTTAAGGATTTGTTTATGCAAAGAAGACTGTGGAAATTTTAATTTGGAGATTAGCTTGAATCTGTAGAGTGCTGTAGGAAGTATTGTCAATCCTAAGTATTGTCAATCCTGTGTTAGGCCTGTGAATGCAGACTGTCCTTCCATTTATTTAGTTCTTCTGTGTATGAGTCTAAAACTAGAACTTTGGACAGTTATTTATCTTCCTCTTTTACATTTTCCAGGTGGTAACAGATGTTCCATGGCAAATGAGAATTCATACGATCTCTTTGATACCACTTTGGCACTTCCACCAAAATCAGGTACAAAGGTGAAGTCTGATTAACTGTGGTTGAGGGTGGCAGTCAGAAACTCAAAACTCATTGCTGTCAAGTCAGAACTGACTCACAGCTAACTCTCCACTGAGTTTTCAGAGGCTGTGAATCATATAGGAGAAGATTGCCTGGCTCTCTTCTTGAAGCTGCTGCTGGATTTGAACTTTCAGAGAAGCAGTGTTAGAGAGCACTTCCTTCTCACTCACAGAGGCACCTACCTACTGGGCATTGCAGGAGGATTCTTTTAAATTGAAGAGAAAAAAGTCCTTAGAGTCAACTTGAGATAGTACTTGGGAGGGATTTTGGGTTTCATGTACTCGATCCCTAGCTAGGACTATGGTGATCTTTCTCTTTAATAATCTCCCTGTAGACTTCTATCTCAGCAACTTTGCTAGGTCCCTGTTACCTGAGATTAAAGTCTGGCCACATCAGCGTGGCTTTCCTGGCCCTGCCCAGTGGAGGCCCTCATGGCTGTCCAGCCTCACCACAGCCCCCATGTAGGTACACAGGTATACGGGTGGCTCCTCATTCTACAAATGGGCCTGCACTTTCCTCTCACTGTGATGTGCGTGTGAGCGGCTTCCTCCTTTTCCAGACCTCTCTTTGTCCCATCTTCTGTCACTAAAAATCCTGCTACTCATTCCAGGCTCATTAGGAAGTAACTTTTCTGGGAAATGCTTTCCTGCTGTCCCCTGTCAGAACTAGACATCCATGTTTCTCTTGAACTTGATGTAAAATCAATGGATTTTTACTGGTTATCTTAATTTTCACTACCTCACTCCCCTGTTGTTTCTTCTCAGAAGCCATCATTGTGCATTGTGCTATTTCTTGCCCCTCCCACACTCTGTGTCGTCTGTATAGTCCAACCAGACTGTGGGCTACTGAAGTACAGTACCTAGCTCAATTTGTTTGTATGAATCAGGTGTCTCCCACAGAGTGGGTGCCCCATCATGTTAGTGGAATTGAGTTTCTTCTGTGAGGTGATTGAGCTGTGGTGTGGGGTAACATACAGACAAAGCTCCGGGGACCAGTCCTCTCGTAGCCTCAGGTCCCTGAATGCAGGTGCTCTCCCCCACACACTGCCGTCTTGCCTCTCATTGTGCAGCTGCAGAGACTCTTCCTCTCTCTGGAAATGATGTGGACTCACTCTCCGGCAACAGTGATAGTTCAGCCACCAGCATCCCGGGCATGCCTTGCCTCATCCCTGGCCGCCGCCTGTGGGCCAGCAAGAGTGGCCACCATATCTTGGGCCTGATTGAAGATTACCATGCCCTGCGCAAGCAAATTGTGAAAGGCCAGAGGCTCCTTGATGAAATGGACGTTCAAATCCAGGAAGTTCCTGACCGCACAGTTTGGGAGCAGGAAACAGAGGTAACGAACACAACCTTATATTTGGTAAAGAAGTGGTGAGAGATTGATTCTCAGGAGAGTAGGATGAGAGAGTAGGAGGCAGGTAACCCAAAGGTCTTCACTAAGGTCCTGAAAAGAGAAGCTAGAAAACGACATTTATGAAGACTCTGAGGTCAGGTTCAATGTGGGGAACCATTGGACAATTTGTTCTTTGAGGGGAAAGTGTGTTGAGATGTATACCCCTTGTTACTCTTCATTGTGATTCGTGTGGCCTGTGCCAGTGATTGCCTCTGTTTTCCTCGCATCCATTTGTCTTATTATTTATCCTTTTTCCGTCTGTGTATCAGTGTGTCCATCTGTTCATCTCTCCAGGTCACCTAGCACTGTTGACCAGTCCACACCTGTGTGCTCAGCTCTAAGACTACCATAGTGAACAGTATAGATTCTGTAGGTCTGTATCCTTGTGAAGGGGATGGTCAGGCACACCATTTGTGTTGAGCTTGCCAATGTAAGAGTCCACAGTATTTTATATTCATGCCATTGCAGAATCTGGCATTGAAGAGGTACTTGGTAAATGTTTGTTGGATGACTTAATAATAATAAGATCCTTCTTTTTCTACTTATCACCTATATTATATGAAAACTAGATACTTTGGAAAGCTTAATAAATTTCTGTAAAATAAACCACCAAGAGGTCAACACTTAAAATTTTGATAGTGACATAAAGCTGCGCTACAATCCCAAAGGCACATGGTTCAAGGCCACTAGTTGCTCTGTGGGAGGAGGATGGGCAGTGTCCTCCCATGAGATTAACTGCCTGTAAAAAAACCTGCCAGTGGGTTGCGGTTCGAATCCACCAGATGCTCTGCTGGAGAAGGAGGGGCACTCTCCTCCTGTACGAGTCAGATATGATTTGATGGTACACACACACACACACACACACTAATAATAATAATTTAAAAAAAAATTAAAACAAACAAACCTGCCAGAGGGTCAGCTATGGGTCAGTTCCAACTCAACAGTATACAACAACAACAACAGTTTATAAATATTGTTGTTATGTGCCGTTAAGTCGCTTTCGACTATAGTGACCCAATGTATAATGACCCTAAACCCTGCTCTATCCCATGCCTATCTCACTGTCTCCGACACACCTACCCCCATTACCCCAGTAACGCAATCAGTCCATCTCATCAAGGGTCTTCCTCTCCTGCACTTACCTCCACCCTCCCAAGCATGTTGTCCCTCTCCAAGGACTAGTCCCTCCTTGCAACATGTCCAAAGTATGTCAGACAGAGCTTTAGAATCCTTGTCTCCAAGGAGCCGCCTGACTTAACCTTCTCTAGGATGAACTTGTTTGTTCTTCTAGCAGTCCATAGTATATTCAATACTCTTCTCCAGTGTCAAAGCTCAAAGGCATCAACTCTCCTTCTATCATCCTTAGTCATTGTCTAGCTTTCTGATGCATAGCAAGTAATTGCAAAAACTTGTGGTCTGTATCAGGTCCACCTTTGCTCTAGAAGAATAACTAATGAGATGAAGTGTTTATAATATGATGTTAAAGTTAAAATATGAGATTAATTTAATATATTGTAAACACTTTATCTCATTAATTATTCTAGAATTTTCCCCCTTTTTTTGGTTGAATTTTTTTTTTAATGACTACAAACTAACATGAGTATATAATCATTTATTTATTCTTTATCTGTTCTTAGACATTTGAGCTGTCTGTGAGTATGTATTTGATCACTTACTAGTTCCTTGGTATTATGAGTTCAAAGAGTGTGAACTTTTCAGGGCTCCTGATAAATATATTATTCTCCAGAAAGATTACTCTTCAACTTAAGCATATCTGTCTCTCTGCTCTTTGTCTTCATCAAATATTTTCATTTATATTTATAATTCTTTTTACCAGTTTATAATTTAAAAGGATTATGTCCTTTTATTTGTATTACTTGTGAAGATGAATGGTCTTTTAATATTTATTTTTTCAATTTTAATTCCCATTACTCCAAATTATATCTTTTACTTTTTCATGCCCCTGCCCATCTGTTAATTTGAGTTTGCTTCTACCAGCAGAGGGTGAGAGAGACTTTGCAAGGACCTAATATCTTTTTCTCATTTAGCAGTGACATTTAACAGGAACTACTGGGAAAAAACAAATGTGTGTTGCTTCACTTGCGGTTGGTAGTGTTTGCCATCTGGGGGTCCTCCATGGGCCACAGAGCCCTGTGACTGGCTCCATCAAGGGCCCTCCCCTTGGCATCGTAAATACAGTTAATGCTGGTTGTATTAATCATTGTTATTGATTAGATAAAAATCACTGAAAATCTCTTATAATGTATAATTTACTGGTCTTTAACAACAATAAATTGGTGTCATCTGGCTCCCTGCATGTGAATCACAAGCCCTGCAGCCTGGAGATTTATGCTGCCCATTAAAGCTTACTTGTCCATAATCTTTTTCGAAATGGCACGTAACAGCCTTCTCATTTGCCTTGTGTAGGGGCTACAGTCGGCGCCTCTGAGCCGGTTTGTCACCACTATGAGCGCAGCCAAGCTGATCCTGAAAGAAGCATCAAGACTACTAAAGCTTTTCTGGAGAGCTTCACTCCCCACAAACGGCCAGTGCACTCATCACTGTGAGCAGGTAGGTGGTGATGCAGGATTTGGAGGCTCATAGATGCCCCTGGAAGATTGCATCTTCCCCTGGGGTCTTCCATCACAGCCCAGGGTCTGGCGTTCCACAGCTGTCCCCTCAGTTTGTGGTATCCGTCAGAGGAGAGGAAGGCACCGTGTTTGTTAAGAATGATGGCTGCTCCAACCAGCCACTGACCTCATCTTCCAGCATTCCTGTGAGCTAGGCCTGTGGCCCTGACCTAACTCTTCCCCACTTTAGCTTTTGTTCAGTTCAGTCCTAGTCCTCCCTAAAATAGGAGCCAACTGCGATGTGGGGAGTTGAGATACTTAATCTAGGTAACAGAATTGATTTGAAAGCCCAAGTATGTGAACCCCAAGTTTGTTCTTTCATTGGGTAAGTTTTAAGTCCCTCTTGGACTGGCTCATTCTTTTCCACTCAGAATCTCTTCCATTTTAGATGCCTTTCTCTGGGCCTTCTGATTGCTATTGATAACATTCATCACCACATTTTAGTGGGCCTTGTTCAAAATCTCTTACCTACTGAGGAAGGACAGAGTCTGAACCTGAAGGCAGACAGAGACAACCCCTCTCCAGAGTTCTGTCTGTGAGGTACATGCAGGATTAGGCCAAAATCACCACCCATTCTGCTAATCAGAGAAAAAGACCAAACAGACCAAGTGAGGAAGACTTAGACTTCTTGACTTGGGAGTGCAAGAATTATTTCTCCTCTCATTTATCTAACCTATGAATTCTTGCCAGTGGCCAACAGGAAAGCAGAGGATATATTTGTATTCTGTATCATTGCATTTTGTTAACTTCCTTTTGACAACTCTCAGCTTATAAAACAGCAAGGAAGTAGTCAGTGAGGCTGTCTTCCCTGCTCTGAAGGTTCCCATGAATCTATCTCAGAGTTCTCTCCATAGAGGAAGTCTGCAAGCCCTAAGCCCAGGGAGGAACATCATCTTTCCTTGAATGGGAAAACCATGGTTTGCCCACTTTTTAGCTGGTGGAGGTGAAGGGTGGAAGGCGGAGTTGGGGAGGAAGGGTTAGGACTCCCTGAGTATCAGCCCCACCCTGAGCTCTGGTTTCTTCTAACTCACCATGCTCCTCTCCCAATTAGAACTTCACTCAGCCCACTGCCTGCCTTGGAGTGCCTTTCTCCACTCTTTCCACATCTCTTAACACCACACCTGACGCCTGCCTGCTCTTCACCTTTCAAACCTCAGCCCAGGTGTTAGTTACTTCAGGGTCACAAAGGCTTCCTGATCATGCAGTCACAGAGAGCAGCCTGATCGTTTGCATCATTGCTTTATACAAGTTCTGTTTATTTAATGTCTGTCTCTGTATTCTCCTTGAGCTAACATGTCTGTTTTGTTCCATGTTACGTACCCACCCCCAGCATAGTGCCTGACCCACGTTGTTACCATGTGTTGTCAAGTCCGCTAGGGCTCAGAGCAACCTCATGAACAGAACCTTACACTATCCTGCACCATCCTCATAATCTTTGACCTGCACAAACTGTTGTTGTTGTTGTTTTATGTGCCATCGAGTTAACTGCAACTCACAGTGACCCTCTATGTATAATAGCTCTGAACCCTGCCCTATCCTGAGCTAGTCTCATGGTCTCCTACACACCTACCCCCATTGTCCCAGTTACTGTGTCACTCTATCTCGTCTGGGGTCTTCCTCTCTTGCCCTGTCTCTGCACCCTTCCAAGTCTCCAAGGACTGGTCCCTCCTGGTCACATGCTCCAAGTATATAAGACTGAGCTTCAAAATCCTTGCCTCCAAGGAGCAGCTTGATTTCACCCTCTCTAGGACAAACCTGTTTGTTCTCTTGGTGGTCAGTAGTATATTCAAGCCACAGTAGGTGCTAACAACATATTTTTGAATGACTGAGAATATAATTTCCTACTATACCCCACACAAACACCTATTCTATATATTTTTTAGAGTACCGACATGTCTGAACTAGACAAGTAACACTCTGTATCTACTGCTTGCTGTTTTTGTCTTCAGCTCATAACAGTATCTGTTAAATAGATGCAAAGCAGTTCTGATTTTCAGTTTATAGTCCCATTCATCTCGACTACTTGCAAATTAGTCCAGGAGCTGGTCAGTGCTCGCGACAATTTGCCTCTTTTTTTCCAAGGCTTTCTCAGGTAATTGATTATGCTCACTTTAGCATCATAGAATTTCAGAGCCAGAAAAAGGACCTTAGAGATGCTTCGCTGTTGGTGCTGATATCCACAGACCCCCTGTGTGGTGTTAAATTGCCTCTGGCCACTTTTTTGTCACTGCCTATGTTTCATATGGTGCCTTTTGCTTGGTGTGAAATGTGTGTAGAGCAGATTTCTGTGTTTCACCAGCAAACCCCTCCCCCCTGTTTTCAACTACCTGGCAGTTTCTCTGAATGTCATTAATTTGCCTTTTGCCTGTAGTACACCATCCCCTGCAGTCTAAGCAGCCTTAGTACTGGTCTAGAAGCTTTGTATCATAGGCATCAGTTTATCTGTCCTAAGAATGTTGCTGTGACGGGTTACATATATTTTCAAAATTATTAACAAATTAACATAGTTTAAAAAATAGAGGAATAAAAAAATAACTATTAGTTACAGAGGTGGGAGAAGAGAAGATGACAGAGAGTTAAGGATGGAAGCTCAGTTTCTTGGAATAGACTTTTCTTTGTATATTTGAAGTGGAAACTATGTAAGTAAATAAAAATTAGGTACGTCTGGTGGCGTAATCCATAGGGAGTTGTGTTGTGAACCCGAAGGCGGTGCTTCTCGGGCATTTCAGATCCATAAGGGTCTTCCCAAGAGACAGACTTCTCTGATGATATTTTAAAAATGAGAAAACCCACTGGAGGGTCAGCAGTGAGTCAGTTTCAGCTCAGCATCTCAAGGAGTTAGAGGGGTTTTTTTCCTTTGCTTATCAATTAAAAAATTAAATAAAAATAAGATAAAAACCACAATTTTTTAAAATTGATAGCATGATGAAGCAAAATCAACCTTTTAAGAACTGGAAGCATAATCACACAAAGAGGAAATAGGTCAGTGACTCAAACACAATAACTGGACTGTATACCCTGTGGGAATACTCTGTGGGTAAAAACAGCTCCCCAAAATGAAATTGTTTTCAGGGATTATATTGTTTTTTTTACTGGGAACATTGAAGTTAATATTCCGAAACTATGTATTTGTGTGGTAGCAAGCATGGGAGGAGGATGGGCAGTCTGCCTCTGAAAACGTGCTGGAGGGTCAGCGATGGGTTGGTTCTGACTCCATTCTACACCGGATAAAGCAGTTACCAATGATGTTAATGTCGCTGGAACTGAAACATATGCACTGTAAGAGACATAAACATAAATCAGAGAAGTTGGGGAAAACCTTGTGATCCTAAATTTGAATTGAAACCATCAGTATGATCACAAATGTTTTGAAATTATATATTTAACTATCCTTCTCTACTTAAACTGCTTTAGAAGCAGTGACCAATCTAGTACCAACTGGCTCCCCAGCATCTAAATTGTGGTTTCTTTTTCCTATTAAAAGGAACTAGGACCTCTTGGAGAAATAACTTGATTCTAAGTCTGGGCATATAATAGGTACTATGAACTTGAAACATCTTCTCATCCTAACAAGAAAAGAGGAGGAAAGAGAGAGAGGGCACCAGTGATTTTCCATTGGTTATCAGAGTCTGGAGCCTGGTACAGCAGCATTATCATAATCAGTCAGAAACATTTCTTAATGATGACTTAGGGGGAAGAAGGGAGCTCTGACGGCCTAGTGCTGAAGAGTTGTGATGCCAACACAGAGTCTGAAGTTCAGATTCGCCAGCTGCTCCTTGGGAGAATGGAGAGTCTCCTCTCCTGTGATTTACAGTCTCAGAAAACCTGCAGGAGGGTCAGCTGTGAGTCAATTCTGACTCAATGGTATATAACAATAAAGGATGAGAGAGGAGAGGGAAAATCAGTAAGTAACTCGGAGACACATATTAAGATGAGTGAAAGGAAAGTCATGTAATAAGGGGGTGATCAGAGCAGTATCTCAAATGAAAAGTATAGCGAGTTACACAAGCATGTGGAGTTCAGTTACAGTGTAGGTACTGCAGTTTATGTCATGGAATATGCATCAGTAGTTAAACAGAAAACCAGTTGGCTCTGTAAAGTTTCACTCAAATGATAATTTTTAAAAAAATAACAATAAAATAAAAAAGAAAGAAATGTAGATCCTCAGACTCTACCCCAGTCTCAGAATTAGACACTCCAGGAGGGAGGCTCAGCGGGCTGTTTTTCCAGGCCCTCTGAGTGGCTTCGAGAAGCATTGAATGAAAAGAAACTTACAGAATGCATCAATCAAATGTAAAAGTGTGGAGTTTATTTGGATCCTAAATCAAATAAAGCAATTGTTTGAAACAGTAGAATTATGATACACCCAAGGAAATGTGTCCACTGACTATATATAATTTGGTAGTATTGAAGAATTACTCTAATATTTTACATCATGTGATAATGCTGTTGTGGTTGTTTTTCAGAAATGAATCTCATAGATATATGTATGGAGACATTTTGTACATGCAATGATATGATTCACTTCTAGGATTATCTTAAAAAGAATCTGTTGTTGTTGTTGTTGTTATGTGCTGTCGAGTCATTTGTGACTCATAGTGACCCTATGTACAACAGCCCTAAACCCTGCTCTATCCTGTGCCAATTGCATTGCCTCTGACACACCATCCCAATTAGCCCAGTCACTGAATCAGTCCACCTCATAGAGGGTCTTCCCCTCCTGCGCTGTCCCTCCAATCTACCCAGCATGATGTCCCTCTCCAAAGACCTGTCTCTTCTTGCAACATGTCCAAAGTATGTCAGACGAAGCCCCAGAATCTTTGCCTCCAAGGAGTAGTCTGGTTTAACCCTCTCTAGGATGAATCTGTTTGTTTTCTTCGCAGTCCATGGTACATTCAAGTACTCTTCTCCAGCACCA